ATTAATTGATCTATCGGTGAAGAAAAGAGATCTATATACACACACACGATTTACAAATAGAACTAACATGAACCAATATAGGAAAAGAACAATGATCGTTTGGTGTGCTTAAATAGATTCTCCGGAGATGCTTTTACAAAAATAAATAGAGATGAGTGTATTTTCTCTAACTAATTCCATTAGAAAAGTCAGAATCACCTTTAATATGATCTTAGTAGAATATTTATTCAATTAAAAAGAAAAAAGATATGCTCGTCGTTTGTTTTGATCTCACATTGATGAGTATTCGAGCACAAACAATAAGCAAATATTTTTATGTGATTAATTTTGGACATACTTCTCATTCCATTTTTTCTAGTTCGTCGCTTTTTCTATAGTGCACATTCATCTTTATAGGAAAAGAGAAGAAAAAAAATCGAAATAACATAATCTTGGAACATGATAAAGATAGAGAAGAATTCTTTGTTTTCCTTCCTTCTCTTTCTCTTTGTAGAATTTGATCGGAAAAATAGAGAGAGAGAGAAAAAATAGAGAAAAAGTTCAGAGATAAAAGTTTACGGTATATAAATTGAGCGTCAGTACCGGGTGACAATTGCATCACATATAACAAGCTTCTTTATTACCCATATCACTACAATGACTGCTACCAATATGTCGATGATGATTATTGCTTTAGTTATCGCTACCATTTGCTTAATGAATACTAACGGTGAAGAAGAAAAAGTAAGCTTATTCATTAATTTATTCTTAACTTCGAATATTTAGCATCATTTATAAAGACATCTCTAGTCTTTTCCTATATGCTAAAAATATATAAATAGGAAATGATCACCTAAGGCATTAATTCTTATTTTGATTAGATTTGACAGTATCTTAAAAATATCCTTGATAATATTCTAAGTAAATTTCTAATATAATCTATTTCTATATTAGATATAATTGATTAATAAAATCTCAATTTTATATTGATTAGTAGAAGAAATATACCCACGCATTCTTAATGATCAACGATCGTCATTTAATGAATTTATTCTTCAAAAAAAAAGAAATTTATTGTTTGAAAGAATTTAATCTAGTCTCTTGAGGATAGATGCATTCTTTTGACAATGATCTAAATGTACTTGTATTTTTTTCTTTTTCTAGAAACGTACACTTGATTCAGTATCTGGATCAGATTTCTTCAAAAAGGTGATTTTATTTTAATGAATTATTATAATTTTATTTTATTTATTTTTTAGAGTCTTGATAGTCTTTCAGGCAATGATTTTTTCAAACGAGGAGACGAAGTACAGAATACAATCTGTTTTTTTTTACTTATTTATTTATATATATTTTAAATAGAAACGAACA